AGTCAAGTCATTTTACAGTATATACTGTGAAGCACTTTGAGACGTCTCGAAGACATGATGAGGCACCTATATCAGATGCAGAGACTATTACTAATTTTATTGCTTAACCACAGACAAGGATTCAAAACCTGTGCCTCTGTGGCCTGTATTTGTGGAGTCCTGTAGCTCAGTGGTTAAAGCACTCGCTTTGCAAGTGAGAGACCTGAGTTCAATTCCAGGCAGAGGGCGAAACCTTGGGCAAGTTTCCTTACTCCACACAGAGCCTAATAATAATCCCTCCAAAACCAAAAACAATAATAAAATTGGTCATTTTCAATCGACGACTGTTTGTGGGACATTGCTGTGCGCAATTGGCTGCCGCGTTCGGCCACAAATATACAGTCAATTCACTTTACAGTGTGTTCTGTGAAGCGCTTTGGGACGTCCTCCCGACGTGAAAAGCGCTATATCAAATGCAAGGATTATTATTATTATTATTATTATGGCTCAGTGCTTAAGTGCTCTGAGCCACTGCCCCACGTGAAGGGTGCTATACAAATGCAAGTTATTGCCTCAGCAATATCAGCATGCGATATTCACCTCTTCCCATTCCCCCCCACCCAACCCCTCCACCTCCCTTATAATTCAGAACAGACGGGACTGACTGTGAGTAGCTTTCTAGCCTCATCGTTTGAATACTGAAATTTAATTTCACCTCTAAAACTATTTTGTTGTTAAAATTTAAGATTGAGCAGAATCGGGCTTACATTCTGTCTTAATTTGTCAGGAAGTTTTTTTAAAAAAAGAAACAGAAAACTGGCTTCCAAACTGAGGCTAAGTTTGAGAATTTCGCACAATTCTCCTCGGTCTTAAATTTTAAGGCACAATAGTGCTATGGACTGAGAATAAGTGGATGTTCAATGTCACTGGTGCAGTTTGCTGAATTAATGCGCGGAGTATGGAATTGTTCAAAGCGTTGGAACAGAGGTGGCCTCAGTGATTTCTAAAGCCAGCTGGGAAACGTGCCTCTGTCTTTACCCACGAGGAACTGTGTTAGCGTCCATGTGTGTCAGCACACAGCTTGGAAACCAAGAGGATTACCCAAGAGACAAGTCCACAGACATCAGCAGTTACAGGTTACATAAAAGCAATTAGTGAATTTTTCAATCCAACTACCTTCTGACAAGAATTGAAGGAAAAATAATATGTACATTACCAGAAGAGGGTTATTCTCCACCTTTGACTGAGAATTTGGCAGTGGGCGATGGTAGGGGCGGGGGGATGAGTGGGGGAGAGAGAGGGAGAATTCTGCTTGATCAACATCTGCAGAAAGTTGCAAATTGCCTAATTGCAGTTTCAGAACACGTCCATCAGGGGGCACTTCAATCTGCAACTCATCTCCTGCTTCACTGCCTCAGTTGTTTGCAATGAGAACCAGCAGACGTTTATCAGTCTGCAAAGAGTGCTTATATTTCATTTGGGGAGAAATCTTTATTTTTATTAAAATTAATAGCATTTTGTGGGGAGGGATTAGGGCGATCATTCAGTGTTTTCCTCTTAAATCCTTCAAGCGCGCATTCAACAACAACAATTTGCATTTATATAGTGCCTTTCACGTCAGGAAGATATCCCAAGGCGCTGGACAGTCAAGGGTTTGCATCGGAGCTGGGGATTGGAGTCAAGAGGGGTGGAGGGCAAGGGGGTGGGGGTAGGAGAATCACCAAAGGCACGGCCAAAGAGGAAGGTCTTGAGAACAGCCTTGAAGTAGGCATGGGAGGGGGCAAGCGGTCCAGTGAGCAGGGAGTTAGCATAGTCAAGCCTGGACGTAATGATGAGGGTCTCGGCAGTCTGAGGGGAGAGGAAGTGATGGAGGTGGGCAATGTTGGGGAGTTGGGGGAAGGCAGAGCGTGTCATGGCACGGATGTTTTAAAAGATAAGTTCTCGTCCATGAGTCATACAACACTGAACAGAGAAGAGAAGCCCACCATCTACTAATCTTTGCACACTCTGAAAACAGTTAGTTCCCTGCTAATGCACCATTAAGTAACTTGATTCACACTGCTTTGTGACAGGGCTGTTTTCAATAATGACTAACACTGGAATCTGTCACCCAAGTGTGTAATGATATTTGTCAGCCCTCACCGGGTCGTATAGATCCTATGTCTGTGCCAGTTTGTCACTTTTCCCTGCCCACCACGCACACACGCACCACACTCTCACTCGCATAGTTTTTCTGAGGTTAAACGTAATGCATTTAAAGCTCGTTCATTTAGCTTGAGATGACAAGAGCATGAGTGAGAAAATACCCACATGGGAGCTCGTTCAGCAGTGATGTACTGTACAAACGTGTGTGATGTACTGCCGTGTGGTACTGTTCACCAAAATACTCGAAGACAGTGAAAACAAATCGAAGCATCTCTTTGATAAAACTCCCTACTGCGCTTTCAAAACAATACCAGTGGGAAACGAAAACAAATTACAGACAGAAAAAGAGCTTTTTAGTATGTCAGCCATGCAATGAAAACAGAAAAAGGACACCAGTCAGAAAGAACACTGCTGTGTTCAAACCCACCAAGAAAATAAGGGATGAACTTCGCCTTTGACGTCCGGTAAGAAACATTTTATCCCACGTCACCAAATGATTCATAAAACATAAACCTCTGAATCAGAAGAAGATTGTAACGAGAAGAGGGGGGAGTGAGTATGATGGAGGAATGCCCACAAAATACAGTCAATTCACTTCATAGTATATTCTGAAGTGCTTTGAGATGTCTCAACAGCATGGTAAGGCGATATATCAAATGCAAGGATTATTATCGTCTTGTGACCCTTTTCTCATCTGTTGCTGTGTTGTACACTTTAATGAATGATGCCATACTTAACTTCAAGTAAAACCAAAAAAGTTATTGTGCTTTATTCCTATAGTTCGAGAGGTACAGATGGTGTCTCGTTTCTAACCACTTAGTGCACACAATCTCATTAACAGCATCAGTTTAATGTTCCAAAACTGGTATATTTTAATAGCCTATCTTTCTCTCTCTCCAACGCATTATCACCGTAAATATAAATGTATTTTAAAATTGCCAGTTTGGGAAGGAAGGAAGTGAAGTGGTGAGCTCGTTTCCATTATGGGGTGGGGAGAAGAGAGATTAGCAGGTCGCACAATGGGACTGATAACATTTCTTTACAGCAAAAAACAAGTGAGCATACACAGTCAGGGAGCTACCAATGTAAGCCCAATGTCACCAGTCTTTACTGGAATACCCACCTCTTGCCCATGTATGGTCTCATTTTTAACACAGTTTTCCCTCTAATGAAGCTTCTGCAACACAATGAACAAAAGCTTGCAGAGAGAAGTGAAAATACATCAGCAACCACTTGCATTTATATAGCGCCCTTCATGCAAGTAGAGTCTCGTACTGCTTAAGAGCAGTGTGGTGTGATAATCAATGAAAACTTCAATGAAAGGCATGGGCAAAATTAAAGTACCTTCTATATTTGTGAAACTAAATGTCTTCCATTATTATTGTACAATAATGTTTATATTATAACTGTCGTCTAAACAGAACATTCCTCTCCCTATGCACAATATAATTCTACTTGTGACCAGGGTCTGCCTTACCTATGTAAAAAAAATCCTTGCGTTTGATATAGCGTCTTATCATGTCTTTGAGACGTCTCAAAGCGTTTCACAGAATGTACTGTAAAATGAATTGACTGTATATTTTGTGGGCAAATGATGGTACAGTGTTGCAGTTATTCTGTCCTGCTCAATTTTAGATTCACCCTCTGTTTAACTCTTTCAGTAACCTCACAAATAAAGGTTTGGGCAATTCAGGGCCATGCACAAGCTTTCTGATCTTACTGTCATTTGGGTTCTTACACTTGGAATGAGACATTACATCTGCTTGTGGCGCAGTGTAAAGGAAACACACATGGAACAGATGCAGCAAAATGGGAACCATGCCAAAATGTTAAAAAAAAATAGGAATTAACATTTGAGGCAAAAATAAACAAGGTTTCAAAGAAAATTAAACAGCCCAGACCTTTCTGCTAACTCAGAAGGCTTTTCTCCAGAACATGAATGAGCCAGTAAACACTGGGGTTATATAATAAGTCAGTAAACACACACACACACACAAACCATAACCTGCATCTAAAATAAAACCTTTTTATCCTCCTAAAATATTTGGAGCCGTATTGGAGCAAAGTAAAAATGATAGCCAGATGAAACACATAATCAATCAATGAGCTCTCGTTGATATTAAAGCTTGTCGAACATGTGATGTGATTCCTCCCGGCAGTGATGGTAATGTGGTCAGCATAAGACACATCAGTAAGGAACAGGCGGGCAGGGATCTTTGTATTAAACGTTTTTCAAATTGTAAAAGGTCACATTACTTAACGCACCAGTTGTACTACATTCAGGGGTGCCTCAAAATAGCAGAAGTTCGAAAGTACTGTACTGCACACTTGTACTGCCCGCTTGTACTGCTTTTAAGTGGGAGAAAATTACAGGCTGTGCATTCAAAATGAACACGTGAGATGTGCTCACCGGCTTCCGAATGAGATGGTGGAATAGTCAGTTTAACATGGTGGCTGCACATCACATCCCGGGCATTATACCCAAGCACCTCTGTAGTGGCAGCCTGAAGTTTTACTGTAAGTCTTGCTATAAGAGCAATGCATTGAAGGAACACTCCCTTGAGAACCAAGGCCTGAAATGGAACTGGGGTATTTCTCATAGGAGAATGTAGTCCATCATTATTAAGCACCAGTTGAATTTGAGGGTGCATTAACACTGGGTTTTAATTTACATGACTTGAAGGCTGACAGCTTTAACAAGTATGGGTTAAGGAAATGCCTTTTAAGGACAGGAATACAGGATTGGCTACATTCTGATCTGCAAAACCTCACATGCCCATGGGGGGGGGGGGGGGGGAGGATATATAAAAAAATTCTCATGAGCAAACTATAAACTCTTGTGAGCTTTACCCAAATCCAATGAGTTAGTTACTTACAGCTTTGACCTGGGGCTTTGATTCTCTCCATTTATAAAGTTCTCATGTTCTTGTTGTACTGAATCCCAATCAGATGAGCGTTGCACTCGATAGCTGTTTATACAAAAGTGTCAACTTCTGACCAATCTGCTGTTGCGCAACTTAAATGAACGGGTGCGTAAATAGATCATGTTCAACCCTCAGAGTCACATTATGAGTTAGGGTGTTGGCAGGGGAAGGTGAGAGAGAAGCGACAAAACAGAAACAGACTTCAAACATCTTAGATTGTATGATTTCAAGTCCTGATTTGGGGTTTGAATCCACAGCCTTACGACTCTGAAGTGAGAGTGCTACAACTGAGCCAAGCTGACACACAATTTAGCTTGTAAAACTCCAGTAGTCCACCAATTCATATACTTTTTAAGAGTCCCAAATGCCTTGACTTTGCCAACCAGCAACTACTGCTCTTCAGAATCAGGCAGGCAAGGTGTGTCATGACAGAGAGTGTGCGTGAATGCCATTCCAGATATAAGAAAATATCTATGTGTAGGAGGCGGTGTATGTATGTGAAACTCTCAGTCTGGTTTAGACACTTAAGCGTGGTGACGGGTTTCCATATGGGTGGGACACCCGGCTGACCAAAAAAAAAAACAGGCATAACATGCATCAGCAGCAAAACAAGAGGATTCACAAGGCATTTTATAGTCACACTTGGTCATACCTGCCAAAAGTTGTTCCAGCTTCCCTCGCCTGCAGTACCATGGTATTACTCATTATCCAACACACGTACTGCATTTGCTGAGTTGCTATGGCAGTTAGAAAATATTTGTCTATTGAGATCTTTACATTCAGCAATTTTTTAAAATATTTTTGGCAGCATTACCTCCAAAGGAAAACTATAATTATTGCAGCAATTATATTAATGATGTACATTGTGTTGTCTTCAAATGCCCAGCGAGAGGAAGTAATATAAAAGTGGCAAAAGCAGGCAATGTTTGACAATAAACAAATGGGCTTGCAAAAAAAATTAACAAAAGTAGGAAGAAATGTACGGAGAAGTAAACGAGTTAGGAAAGTTAATAACTAGGCGCACAAGATTTCAATAAAACAAAAGTTTCCAGCAGCATTTCAAACCAATCTGGATTTAATTAATCTCATTTCATCTCATTGAATCAGATCCCTATTGAGTCCTGTAAAACATTTCATTTTACCTGGTTAAGCCTGAAGAGATAGAGTATCTCTTTGTTGCCGGCTTATAGCTATTTTGCATCAAAGCCTTTTTTTAAAAAAAAGATGTTTTACAAAATCACTCCCTTCATGTTAATCTCCCTAACAGTCATGGATTGAGTGTCCAAATCATTATGAATTATTTTTGAAAAGATTATTATGCCCAGAAAAGCAATCCGTCAATCGACTAACGACCGGGTTCCTACTTACTGCTAGGTAAACTGAGGCGTGCAGATTAAGGAAACTTGTCCAACGTTTCGCCCTGCCGAGACTCAAACCCATGTCCTCTCGCTTGCGAGGCGAGTGTTCTAACCACTACGCTACAGGACATGAACATAAGGTCCCTCAAAGCAAAGGTAGTGTGTGTTACTAAGGATGTTGACATCACAAGCAAATAAACATTCATGTTTCAGACAATGCTAGTAGGAAAAAGCAATGCTGTAATTTCAAAGAAAACATTCTCTGGAGGCTTTCAGGTTCAATTTTTCAGTGTTACTTTATAATCACAGACCCAACCCCTTGCCCTCCTCCTCCCCTCCCCCCTCCCCGGGGCATGTGTGCCCTGCTCACCTACATAATTCCTGCAACTTGCAAACAATCCCTGGAGGTCCTAAAAGCAATATGCCAGCTCCATGTCATGTTTCTGCTCGAGGCAGGAATAGCACCGACAGCAATACAAGGTACAAGTCCCTTACCCGACTCTCATTTCCTGTTAGCAGCGCAGGGATCTCACAGGAAACCATAGCATAAAACAAGCAGAAAGAGTCTGAATCAGTGTTTCCTTGTTGGAAAGCAAGACAGGAATGGGACAGCCCTACCTTGGCAAATCACACACTAAATAAGGAGAACACATATTTTCCTTTTGTTTATCATAAAACAGGCTCAGGAAAGGGTTAAAAGAATGATCAGAGCTGCTCAAACATTTAAAAAGAGGTTTCTTTGTCTAAAGCCTGAGATCATACTTCTGGCTGCTGATCGTTTCTACATATCAAATACAACAGATGGATTAAGTGGCAAGCGATTAAGGAGGTGTACAGATTGTGTGGTTTTTTTAAAAAAACTTAGAGCAAACTTGGACTATTTTGGCTTTACTAAAATGAAACCTTAAATGCTGAAATGCGGCGTGACTGCATGATTTGAAGGCTGTTATTATTATTATTATTATTGTTGTTGTTGGGCCGCAAATAACTTTACAGACTGATGCTAACGCTCACCAAATCCCGGATACATAATTACACGGCTTGGTGCCTGTCATCTAAAAATGCCACAACCCTCAAAGAACACTGCAGGGATTTCGTAGCTTTTAAATTGCGAATTTCAAATTCTGCAATGGCGTTTAATTTTTAGTTTTTGGGGGGAAAGAAAAGAGAGAGGGAAACATGCAAATCGTTCTACATGGGAAGTGTGTATTTAAAACCCTCAAAAATGAAAGAGGTGTTTCTGATTATTTCTTTTGTCTTTTGTGCTGGATCCGATTTAAAGTGACTACTTGGTTTGACTACATTGGTGACCAGTTCCACATCATTACTAATAAAGATCTTTCAGGAAACCCCCTCTCCCCCCCCACACTTCCTTAGACACTAGCCAGAAGGTACCTATAAGGCTGTTAAGTAGAGTATACATAATCAGTTCCACTGGGATACATAATTAATCCCTCTATGGTAGGACCTAATAACCCAAGAGTAATGCTGCCTTACTCACAAGAGAGTCATCTTCTGAAGATGTGCTTAATTTCGTCCAAATGTGTGATCAAAATACTGCGGTAACGTTTACTTGATGACCATGCACATAATGTTGTACGCAAATGAATTGTTTTAACACCACAGGAGACATCTCGCCAGGGGATTCATTTGCTGCATCTAAAAATTTGACATCACTTATAATCACAAGCACAGGGTTAGATGTTGATGTAATGGAAGACAAAACGCAATTCCCGTCAAATTTGCGGAGAGCTGCCAAAGAACATCTTCGAGTGCAAATGATTCTGTGCAACAATGGGATGTGAACTGGATGAACTGCCTGGGAAAAAGTTTCAAAGCTTAACCTCAGGGTCACGGGCTGACAGGCAAACCAACAATTCCATAGTACAATCTATTGGATAAAGACTTACCAGAATGAGAAATCTCCCACAATGAAGAAATAAATACAAGTCCGAACTGAACGCCCTGGTGCCAGACCTTAAAATGGGCGTGAGCGGTGTTGGGGGTGGTAGGGCAGGAATTTCTTATTGATCGGGTAAATTACGTCCTTTTTCTAATTGATTGGGGCTACTATACACAAAACTGTAGGCAAGTCCACATTTACATGTGAAACTGTAGGGAGGAGACAGTGGGAAAGATAAGGCACCTCCCTGTAGTTAAAAGAACAGAAAGAGTTCCACTTAGCTAGAGGGCTAATGGGTTTGCCCTATAGAAAGCTTGTGCATTTTTCAAAAAAAAAGTAATTTTCTTTTACTATTATAACAGAGAAAAGAACTAACAACAACAAAATTGCATTTGTATAGCGCCCGTCACGTCGGGAGGACGTCCCAAGGCGCTGGAAAATCAGTGTTTCGGACCCGAGCTAGGGGTCAGGATTTTGTGGGGGTGAAAGTAGGGTGATCGAAAACACCGTCAAAGAGGAGGGTCTTGTGATGGGTCCTGAAGGAGACAAGAGAGGGGGTGAGGTGGAGGGACTGCGGGATGGAGTCCGGAAGTGTGGGGGCAGAGTGGCAGACGGCCCACCCACCAACAGACAAAGAATTCTGGTCCAAGGTGACATTGAGCTGATCGCATGACTGCAACTAAAAATAGTAAAAACTTGTTTACTCCCACAATAAACAAGCAACAAAAAGATCAAAACGATTGTTATGCTTAGCGATCAGCCTGTGATATTATCTCATTTGTCTTCTATCCAATCTGTGCATTTCGTAACTCAGCTATTGCAGCTGTGTGTTCAGAGCTGCTAAGAATGTCAGAAGCAGTTATTTTGCCGTCTCCAGTGTCCAAAGGCCCGAGTCACCCATTTTCTTACTGGAAGTTTTGAGAGGAGCAGAAAGCAGATCAGACAAAGGCCTCCTGCCAGATGGGAGTCACCAAAGGCCATCCCGGGAGGCTGAGGTTTATTATTTGTGTTCCATTTTATTTAATGTCGTTTTTCTTCCACTCTCCACAGGTCTCCTCTGGGGCAGGGCAGTAGACCTGACCCCTGACCTGGGCCAATACTGCCCTTGGCTCAGATGTGTTTTGCTGAGCGCAAGGGCTGGTCGACGAGGAAGGTCTTAGAGACATTGTTCGGTGCCTCCCCTTGACGCCACTCAAAAGATTAGAGAATCATTATAAACAACTGGAACAAAATTGCCCATCCCATGGCCTAGTGGCTAACAATACCACCCAATAATATAGCACTAAGCCACAGGGTCGATTCTCAGTCTGTGCTGGTCTCTCGAGAAGTTACATATTTGCCTCGGCCTCAGTAAGGTGGAAAAATAATAATAATATTAATTCTTGCATTTGATTATAGCATCTTATTATGTCTTAGAGATGTCTCAAAGCGCTTCAAAATCAACCCAGCTTCCAGGTCTGTCACTGGAAAGTGCACATGTAAATATGGGGTGAGGACAGAATGGCAACGGGTATCCTCCCTTCCCCTCCCCCTCAGCTAAACATTCACCATCAAAGTTCATATTGGTTCAGAGGTCTGCTGGTTCTTATAGAACCGATTCCCGGCTACAGACACGGGCTTCAGGAGAGGGAAGGAAATTGGGGCAAAAGTACACATCACGCCATGGATTCCAAATCTCAAACAGAAACAAAACACTGGAACACAGCAATTATTCACCAGTGCACCCAGACAACCCCACCAGTTCTTAGACATCAAAAGGGTCAGGGACCTAAAATCCACCTAGTCTCAGTTAACAAGTAGGACCATTTTATCTTAAACGTAATGATCATGCGGAATATGTAGATATGCTTTAAGTTCAGCCTTAATTTTTAATTTAAGTAGTTGCAGAAAAACAGCTTCTAAATCAAGACT